CTGGACCCTGCCGGCTCTGCGGTAAAGGGAATGTCGTTACCACAGATCAGAATGAGTCAGGGCTGAGCCCCGTCGGCCTCTTTGGCGCGGGGACTGCCCTTCTGGGGGCTGTAGAAATGAACCTCAGGTGCGGGAAGGTGCGGGCTGCACTTGCTCGTGTTTCTTGAGGGAGAGCTCACATGGCTGAAAAATGAGTCTGAAGGTGAGCAGGGTTGTCTCTGTGCCCTCAGACTCATCTCTTCACCGAGCCTGGCTTGTCTGAGGTTGTGTAACAAGCAGGAAGAGGGAGAGCTGTTAAAGAAATCCTGATTCATATACTGTGGTTCTGTGCGCTGATGAACAGTACTTCCTGTTGTGGCGAAGAAATGCTTCTATGAACTGCTGTGATTTTTCCAAGTTCCCAAATATAAACTTCTTCTGTTTAAATGCTGTTCAAATATAATTGTCTTTTTTCATGTACTTTGCTAATGTCTCTTCAGCTTTATTGTGTTAATCTTAACACTAGTTCTGTTACACTGTTCTCATGTGTAATGGTTGGTTTACTTAGGAAATTAAGCAAGATAGCAGTATAACTTCCTTAAAAAAATAAAATTGCTGTTCTGAAGTACATAGAAACTGAGGAGTGTTCTTTCAAACTTGGTCTGGGTTGCAAAATTTGGCAAGTGCTGTGGTGTTAAGCAGCTGCTGTTCAGAGAATAAGTGTTGGATTTCATCCATTATGGCCTCTGCTACAATGACCTTGAGTTTCAGTCTAGATTTGAAAACAGTTTAAGGGAAGTTTACCCTTCTCTTATCTGTCCTTGCCTATCGCATAATGAAATGATAACTTTTATTAACGACTAAATTGTCTTCTAGTTTAATAACAAAACTCTGCTGAAACTGAAGTGACAAAGCGTAATACATTCAAAGTTACAAGGTGATGGTATTTTTTAGTTGCTACAGGTTTTGGGGAAGGGGAAGTGTACAGTCTTTGGTCTCCCACATGTGAAACGTAGCTGCTCCCTGGTTAGTTACCCAGTTAAAAAGTTCCACCTGAATGCCTGTTTTAAATTGGAATACCTAATGTTTTTATCCTGTTATTCTATGGAAAATGTAATTGAATCTCTGCCTTTTTTTCTTATGGGGTATTTTTCCCCCCTGTTAACTGCTGTCAATATACTTTGAAGTGCTGCATATACAGGCACATTTGAATCTGCACACCTCAGGTGTTTCCATCAAAAGGCATGAGAAACATGGTATTTATAAAGGAAATTTAACAAAATCAGGAAGTAAGCAATGTGTCACTTTTAAGACGGAAATGACAGTTGCAGAAAGTAGGATTTAAGAATGGTGCTTCAGGAGCCCCCATCTTAGAAGTTTGTCCTTTCCTTAATAAGATACAAGTGATTGAAAAGACTGAAGGCAGGGCAGCAGTTTGTATCAGGAGAGGTTTCAACGAGAGGATTTCAGGTTAGGGGAAGTGTAATGTTCTTTGCACAAAAGAACAGAAATTAATGTCTGTAAAAGTCGTATGATCAGTTTTCTGCATTTTGCACTTGATATGTGTAACATTTCCATATGAAAATTAAGGTTTATTATTTTTAAGATAAAACTGTACAAATACAGAAAAGTCCTTTTAGTGAAATTAAGATGTAAGCCTGTAGTACAACTAATTTTTAGAGGTATTTTATTATGTCTAATGGAGAAACCTGTGACTGTTGAGCAGGTTCTGCTGTTACAGTTTGTCATAAGACCAACGGTAGGGATGTGGTCCCGAGGGACAGGAGCTGGTGTTCAGTCTTGAGTTTCTTGTTACAGGAGGAGTGTGAGCCAAGAGGAGGTTTCTGGATTCCATTGAAGCCTGGCTGTACAGCCAGTCTGGTTTTAATAACTCATTGCTCAATTAACTGATGAAGCCCTTGGAAGATTCTGTAATCTGGAGTAAAGGGAACTTTCAAGGATTCTGCTTCAAGGGAGATCATGAGAGTGTTCTACGTGGGATTTGTGTGAAGCTTTCGTGGAAGTTTAAAGAATATTCCTCAGAGGCATACTCTTGTATTCTTAGTTTCTGTGTGTCTGGCATGAGGGAGGGGTGTTCTGTATTTTTGTTAAGGGGTTCTGGTTTTGTTTTTAATAGAGCGCATGGACATTAGAGTTCTTCATGTAAATAAAAGTGAAGACTGATTAAAGAGAAAAGCAGGATTTTAAAACTGATGCTACTTGTCTTTCACTTGGAGTTTAGTTATTTGTAAAAAGAGAAAGGTTGCTTTTGCATGGGAAACTCTAATTTGGTTGGTTTGTGTTGTTTTGGTTTTTTTTAACATGACAGTAATTTATCTGCCCGTAGGAAAATAATGGAGCTTGACATGCATTCATTCAGATTAGATATTTTTTATTTTGTCCTACAAAATCATGACTGACACTTCTAATTGACTTACTTTAAATTTGCATTGACATTCTAAAAATGTTACATTACATTTCTGTTATCTGCAATGCACTGGATATGTAACAAAGTATCTAAAACACTTTTTATTTAAATGGTTTATCAACAAAATATATTTTCAGTGTTTAATATGCTGAATTTAAGAAGTTTTTTCTTGTCCCCTCATCATTGTCATCAGGGTTCTAGGACTAGTGGAGCTTCTTTTACCTACTTCTTATATGTAAATTTCATATAGAAAATGAGCTTTACTGCTCCTCCAGCTCCAAATCACTTCCTCAGCAGTAATGCAGAGAGCAGATTTCAACAGCCACACCTGTCAGGGAAGAAAAGTTGAAGAAGAATGAGAGTCTGTTAACAGAAGACATTAGTTACTGAGAAGTAGAACTCTAAACTGTTTTGTTTTCACATGATGGTGATTTGGAAGAGGACAGAATCCATTGGTTGCAGAGTCCCTGTGTGATTCAGTTGGGTCATTGGCAATTTTGACGGTGTTTTCAAAAACATTTTTTACATGAAATTAATTTCCTTTGAGGAAAGTGTGCCTGTTTGTTTTTTGTTTGTTTGTTTTTTCCCATAAAGTTAATGGGAGGGTTGTATTCTATAGCTTGCAGTGTATACATTCAAAGAATACATGGTATTCTGGGTGAGTGGGGAGGGCAGGAAGTTTGCCAGAATGAAAAACGTTGAGTCATTTTACAGAGTTTATGTAAACCTGATTTTCTTGTTGTCTTTGGTATTTTTTTCTCTTCCAATATTAGCAAGAAGGCTCATTGTGTGCTCAACACTGCCTGAATAATTTGCTGCAAGGGGAATACTTTAGCCCTGTAGAGTTATCCTCTATTGCACAGCAGTTGGATGAGGAAGAAAGGATGAGAATGGCAGAGGGAGGAGTATCTAGTGAAGAATATAGAACATTTTTACAGGTAAAATCATCTTAATTTGGGGTTGCTTCATATTTACCTGAAATGTAACATTGTTTAGCACAGACCTGCTGTTCTTGCTAAGCTAGACAAGGTTAATTTTCTAGTGCTGAAAGCTCTTAAATTTGTAGTCCTTTTCATTCATGCATCTTAGATTTGGCATTTTCAAATGTTATTAGCACAATAATTCTACAGAAAGCTATATTCATCTTACAAGTAGAAAGGTCAAAGATGGCAAGGAGGATCGGTGATTAGCCTTTTGTTTTTGTAATCCAGTGTCAGATAGGAACAGAAGTGCCCATGCCTGTCTGCCCTTTAAGCACTGAGCATTTCTAATTTAAAGGTTTGAGTTTTAAATTAATATGCCTGTTTGGAGCGTTGTAATCAGCCTTACAGACAGGGACATAACAAGTTGTTGCTTTAAGAATATGCAATTACATTTATTTTCAAAACTCAATTATTTTTGACCTTTTATGCTTACACCATTTTTCTCTTTTCTCCCTCCCAATCTCACACTGAGCAGCAGCCTTCTGTAAATATGGATGATAGTGGATTCTTCTCAATTCAAGTAAGCACAGCTCTCTTCTTACACAATTTTCTGTTTATGCAGTATATGTTCTCTCATATAATTTAAATGACAATGAGCTTTTTCATCTAGTTGCCAAT